TCAGGGCGTGTTTCTAAAGTTGCTATGGGGGTACGTGGAACGATTGTGCAGTAGCTCTCAACTAATTAGTGAGAAAAACGATTACAATAACAAACAAGAACCTCCATATGGAGTCAGCTGTAACATTTGAACACTGTTGCAATTGAGGGTGCGTGAAAACAATATCGATAACGATCAGAGAAGTCTAAATGGTTGGCTAAAGGTAATGGAAATAGTTGAAATGAATGGTATAAATGATTGTTTTGTTACATTATCCACTTTTGTATATTTTGTAAAGAAACATTCAGTTTTAAATCAATTTAAAAGACCACTCTTGGAACATGACAGATGGGGTCGATGAAGCAGTGCTTGAGTTCATCGAACAGGGTCGTGGACAGGGTCGGACTAGAAACTAAATCCAGACTCGGCAAATTTCGTCTGGACTCATTTTCATGGGCTATCGCTGTAATAGATATGATGAAATTATTTCAAAGTTTGTAGCCTATTTATTTTATTATTATTATTCATTTATTGATTTTGTCCTCATCTTTCATTAGCCAAGTTTGATGGCAGTATGACAAATTTTGTTGTCGTTGACGCTTCGAACAGCCTCGATTATTCCTCATTGGCAGCTCTGCTGCTAACCGGCTAGCTCCGTTCACACTGTCGCTACATCAGCTAGCTTAGCTATCAGTCTCACCTGAGGTCCTCGGCCTCCTCTTGACCCTCCGATGGATCGTCAGGAACTTGCTGTTACTCTGTGTGTCCCGTTAACGTTACTCTTTGCTCCTCTTCATTTGGTGCCCCGGAGAACTCCTATCACTGCATCATCGACGACTAGGACGTTGTTTTTTAATAAGGAATTGGTTATCTTTAAACATTTTCCAACTTTAGCCTCAAGTTATTTTCTTGTTCCTCGCTGACCTTTTATTATCCATTAAATTTGTCTTTTCATTCAACTCCACTCTTTCTGTCTAGATTTTATTTAACAGAAAGAGTGTAAGTAGATTGACAAGTTTGTTACTGTATAACCCCTAATCAGATGTACCATTCCAACATCTAGTGAGCACTGGCAGGTCCATTTCTTTCACACTTTGCACCTATAGCTAGCCACTAGGTGCATAGCTGTGGAAGTACATCAGAGGAAAAATATTGGGAACAGCTGATTTGCAGAATAAGATATTTAGGTTGATTTGGACAGAAAAGTCGGTTAATTTGTGACATTGTTTTTATTTGAAAGTATCTGCTTTTTCAGTAAAGCCCCTTTAACCCTCAACCACCTTGGATAATCCAATCAAACGCCAGTTTCGAGCAGCAGATTTCAGTTGTGATCTTAAACAAGCTGCTTTTTAAAAATCTGCTCACATCTTTGTAATGCATTTTATAGCGCCATAACACTATGTAGCCGGCAGCCTCTTTGGGTTCCAGATCTTCTTTAACCAGAGATTTAAACACACACCAAAGGTAGTTTCAGCAAGACCTCATTTTTCTCACTGTGAAGTTTCCAGACTTGGAGTTCTGTATCTTGTCGCCTGTTGGGATCATGGGGCAGATAGTACTTGTGAATCTTCTCCCAAACAAAATAAGATAACACAAAGTCCTGCTATCTGTAGATAAAAGTGAAATACTGTGCCGTCTAGTGGAAAAAAAAAAGCAGGGAGACAAAGAAAGGAGCAAAAAAGTTCTATCACATAATGGAGTTTAGAAGTTTCATTCTTTACTTTTCTTTGCCAGCAGCTTCCAAGGTCATGTTCCCGGGCCAAAAAACACCTTAATGTAAAAACAAGCATTTTGATTTTTTTTTAGCTCTGCATCAATAGGAGAATTCATGCATTTATTTTTTTACTGCCTTCAGGAGATCAATGCTGTGTAAGTATCATCTGAGATCTTTGAGGTTCCCAAATGCTCTTGGCTCAATTCAATTGTACTGAAAGATGCAGACAGCTGCGTTGTGATTCAAGGAAGACCTATTTAAACTATAGGCCCATGTCTTCACCTGTTTGAATCTGTCTCTATTAGATTTCACTTCACATTCATCGACCATGTGATGCAATATGATATGGGATGAACATTATCTGTAATGGATGAAGCAATGTTATAAATTAAGTATCATCCAGATACGAAATCGTGTTGTATGTACAGTATATGTGAGACCCTGAATGGTTTTGCATGTTTTCCAGCCCAGGATCTAAATGACAAACGTATTCTCATGCTGGAACCCAGGCTCATTAAAACATATTAGTATTCTTGTCATGTCAGGAGAAAACAGAAAGAAGCTTTGGGCTCTAAGAGTTAACAAACCATGATTTTAACAATTTCTATAGCTGCTTAGGGAATCCCAAGTAGTTGAATTACAGTAATTATATTAAAATAATCATAATGTAAGTCTAAAACACTACTGACAGTTGATGATGTGTGGATTTGTTTAAACTGACAAAACCCACAGTTGACTTATATTGTGTCCTAATTTAAACTACAGTCCTTGTGTTACCCAATAAATGTTCTACATGGGAATATTTTGAGTCCACTATTCCCATGGATATACAGTAAAATAAGCATTTAAGCATTTGTGAGAAAAAAAGTCAAGGCTCTGTGCAGCTTTGTTGTGGAGTAGATAACATTTAGAAAAGCAACATACAGACAACTGCATTTGGTTTTCACTTTGAAAAATTAAATACCAATATGTCCAAAAATGAAACTTCATCTGCGCACATAGTGGTCTTTTGACATTTGACCTGATTTAGGCCTTCAGACCCACTTAGTGAAACAGCTTACTGTACTTACTGTAAACACAACAGTAATGAAATGGACATGTGTTTCTCCATAAGCATCTGTGTGCATTCTGTGAATATATTTATACATACACACACTAATTATGACTTTCTTTGTACCTCTCTAATCTTTGTTATTTTTCTTTGGAAATAGTGGATAATTGTAGGCCTCCAAAAAAGATTTACTCTTCAGTTTAACTGCTCACAACTCACACACATGACACACCTGTCTCAAGTATAAAATGTTGGAAAACTTCTACTAAATTAATAAGCTTTGTGACCACCTTCATATATATTAAAACATTTCTGTTGCTGAAAATTGCCCGTTTGATTCAGGCCAGACCTGCAAACAGTGGTACAAGAACCAATGTAAATGAACTGTTTATGCATGCACTCTAAGATCAATGTTCAAGTGCAAACACTTGCTCTTTCATAGATGTTTCTTGACTATCCAAAATGACGTGATCATGATGACATTTAATATGAAGAAAATGGCAAAATGCTAATACAACTTAAAATAGGATTTGTTCGGAATTTGAGTCTTAAGGAAAAGTAGATTAAGATTGTGCAGCTGTGTAACACCATATGCTTGTCAGTAGGGGTTCAGTTGTATGCTGCACTCTGTAGATGTGGCCTCTGTGTCATTGCCACTTTTATTTATCTGGATTGAGGTAGCCATTGGAGAACGCAAATACAGTATAAACCAGAAACCAATAGCAGTTTATTTCATTATATGGCTAATTGTCTCAGTATTTTTGAAGCATTTTCTGTCAGCAGCAGGAAAGACTGGATATCTTGCAGAAGATTTCGTGCTGCATCCTTCAAGTTGATGCCAAGACATGCTGGAGCTATTTTAGCACTCCTGAGACACTTTTTGTTGATGTTTTCCTTTTCCTTTTGCTAGTTACCTGTAGATGTGACACTGCTGGCTCCAGGGCATCCTTTGTCTCATCACAAAAGCCACTAGCAGTTGATACAAACATCAGTGGACACTCTCGGAATACACACCACCTCACCTGTCACACTGTAACAATCACATCGACAACTTGGTGCAAACACTGTGTGTAAAAATGTACTCAGACACAGCCATCAGCTTGGATCATGTCCTATACGACCGATGACGTGTGTGCGGTTGTGTGAATCTACAGTGTGTGTGTGTGTGTGTGTGTGTGTCTGTCTGTCTGTCTGTCTATGAGGGGATAGGTGGAGGCCATCTTTCATCTCTTGCTGTGATCAGATATTCTACATGATATGATATGATGATACAGGCCCAATTAAGGGATGGGGTTGTGTGAAAAATGCGATGACAGGGCAAGCGGAAGAGTAGACTGTGATCTGACATCTGAGAGGGAGAGAAAGACAATGGAGAGAGAGAGAGAGATAGAGAGAGAGAGAGAGAGAGAGAGAGAGAGAGAGAGAGGGAAGACTAGGGGGGGCAGACAGGACTGAAAGACGGTTGTAGGAAAAAAGGGAAGATTGATGCTGGTAAAGGAAATGAAAATGGGATAAGCGTGAGAAAAATAGTGAGTATGAATGTTAAGTAGGGAGGGACAGAGAATTAATGTGATTAGAAGGGAGAAGGAAAAATGGAGAGGACCAAAAAGATGGAGAGTAATGAAAGATAGAAAAGGGAGACAAATGAGGCTTCTTTCCCAAAGGAAATAATTTGTCAAAGACGTTATGGATCCTACTTTTGATCCATCTTGTAGTAGTTTAAAAATATAATTTTAGGGAAACTTTGACAGGAATACAAAAATTAGATTGTTCTACTTTTCTTTCAAAAACATAAACCATGTCAGGCAGCATGGAGAGGAAAAGGCAACAAGTAGATATGGAAGTGGTAGTAGATATGGTAGTAGATGTGGAAAAGAAGCAGAGCATCATTGTAGTCTTTAATTGTTGTTCCATATTTTGCACACACAGGTACATTTTATTTGGCAGACATATAGTAGTACACCAAAAACAGCACACACTGTGAAATGGAGCTGATTTTAAACAGGGAGGCTTCTTAGTACTGTCTGAACCTGTTTCCCCACATTTCGTTAGTCTGTCAGGATAAACTACAACTGTGTCAGGTGTATGATTTTGATCGGGACGCATGGTGCTTTGATCACCCTTTCAGCTTTTATCAGCGTGCGTGCTCTCTTTTCATAGCCAAATAGGACCCAATTATGTCAAGCACATTGTGCTTTACCTGGAGTGCCAAAGCACTACACAGGAAGGAGGAAATAACTCACACTAAAACATCACTTAAAAGAAAAGAAAAGCCTTTATTTAGCTGTCAAAAAATATACTTGTTAGACTCAATCAATTACATGAAACGAATACAAGTTTCAATGTGAAACATATTTTCAACCTCAGTATCCTCCCATTTAAAATAAATACGTGCAAGGTCACAGTATTTGTCTGTTTGACCGGTAGTACAGTATTATATAACCAGTTGACATAAATACAGAAATGGAGAATACAATGCAGGTTCAAGTGTTGTAGAGCAATGTGAAGCTCATAGAGCTTAAGGGAGTTATGAGTGGACATCTTGATGCTCCTTTCTTGATGAAATTCAGGCTTCTCGCTCAGGATGTCTCATTTACCTAAAAAGAGAGAATACACAAATAATGAAAACACCCTTAAAGACATTCCAAGAATCTTTGTAGATAATTTACATACTATTACATATTATTACATCAAAGCTCCATGAAGAACCTTTGGTGAATTTTCACCACGTCCTGTGTAACACAACACTTTCGAAAGCAAATTTTTTCTTAGAAACTATATGTGTAAAACTAAGTAATTATTCCCAGCCAGAAGGGATCTTACAGCAACCTGTTAGTTGCAGTTTTTCTGTGACACACACATAACCTCTGTGTGTACAATCTGCCTTTGCTGAGGGACAGCACTTGTTGTAGAGTTTCATCACATCCCAAAGCAAGATCCTTGAATGAAAGGAGTTCAGTGAGCTGTGAGTTCCCGGTGTACTTGACAGTGACAAAGGCCTCAACAATAGCCGCTGACATTAGTCCCCCTCATATCACGCTGCACTTTCCTCCCATTGTTCGCACTGCACTTCTCACATGTATTGTCTTACGTGATATCCTTAGAACCTGATAAGACCTACGGTGAAAGTTTTTGTAGCTGAGGACACAGGCCTGGGAGTGTCTCAGGGTTACAGCTGCTTATTATTCTCTCATTGAGACTGGGAGACTGTAGGGTCTAGGGAACGCCTTATCGGATCCCCTTTACACCCGGCCAAACCTGGGTTACCAGCACCTCCAGCCCTTTCTCCATTACTCTTGCCATACCTGACACTCCTTCCTCCAGAAAGACATTATGGTATTACATTTCTCTGAAACTATAGAGCGTGTTGACAAGCATGAAAGGTATTCTGGGGTCCAACATGAATCTATAGGCTGTGCAGGACAGCTGGGGTCATTTGAGACAGCAAGGATGTCCGACTGGCTCAGTTAAATCTTCAGTGTCATTGTCTGCATAACACAACAAAAGAAAACCAACACGTCATTTCAGGATCCCATGACGGACTTGTTCCTAAAGGTTTACTCCAAATGTATTTGCTGATTTATCCTGTCAGACACTTGAAATCTCTTGAAAGTTGCTAAAAGTCAGCAACTCCCTTCAGTTTTTTCCAAGGATTTAAAAAAAATACAAAAGTACTGTTTTAGCCACGTTGTCTCATTCAACAAATCTCTCAGATGTTTGGCTGACAGTATAGAACAGTTCAGGCTTGGCAGGGGGTCCCTGGGACATCAACACCCAAACTCAACCCAAATGCAAAAGATGAAGGGAGGTGCATTCAGACAAGCCAAGCAAACCACGCTGCCTGCACACAGCACCTCAAGGGCACACACTGCCTTCCTGGCCTGCCTGTCTATCTGTGGCAGCTGATCTTCGTCAAAGCTACATGTGCCTCTCTCTGCATCCTCCTCATCTTCTCTGCTGACACTGTAGTTGTGCAATGTGTGGAGCTGTGTGTCAATTGTGTGTTTGTGTGTGTGTGTGTGCGTGTGTGTCCAGGGCTTTGCTGATGGTTCTCAGTGCCTCTGATATTTGGGTTACATCAAACAAAGCATTTGACATTCACTAGTTGAACAGGCAGATTAGCGCTTGATGTTTATAAGGTGAATTAAAAATAGCTGCAACAATACTGCACAAAATCAGTGCAAACAACACTATACATGAAAATCTGTTGTGAATTTAGGTCCTTTCACAAAATTATCTACATTGTAGAATCATTATTTTTGATTCTCTCAGACCCTTTACATGTTTCCACTCAAACATCCAGACAGGTTGACATATAAAATGCCTAAAATGTAACATACGCATGTACTTCTGTCTTATAGTATTTAAGGACACAACAGTTACAAAGGCCTGTTAGTAGAAACTAGATGTTTTACACAAGCCATCTTCTCAAATCAGAATAATGGGTGTGAAGTCAAAGTATAGTCAACTCTTTCAAACTGGGGCATATTTTTATAGTCAGTTGTGATAAAATTTCATTGACTAAATCAACTGTAGAGATTTATTCTACTTTACAGCAGACCCACAGGGCATTGCAACATGTTTGTTGTAAGTTTATCTTGTATTTCTTTCTTTTCGATTGCCAGATTGACCCAGTTTGACTGATTCAAACTGGTCGTTATTGGTTGTGGTTCAAATTTTCTGATCATCAATTTTTGCCTTGCTCCACACAATCTGTGTTCAGTAATGTCATTGTCCTGGTGCCTTTGCAATGAAACTGGTGAAGATCCAGATCCAGATTTTCCCAGACCAGATCCACAAACATGGATAGTTGTCATACTCCCCATCACAATGCGCATTTATGCGGAAAAATGCAGGATTTTTTGGGAGTGGTCTCCCCTCATCCACAAAAAAGGATTTCATGTCAAAGTATCCCTCGGGAAATTGACAAAGGCAGAAAGTAGTGCCTTGTGTTGCCCAAGTCTGATAACAGGGTAGAGGAGTTGTATGCCTTGCTCTCCTTCTGCTAACTATTCCCAGTAGAGCGCAGTCAGATGCCTCCACTCTCCATGAGGAGGCAACTGATGCTGCTGCTAATCTGCAGAGAATAAGACTCAACTGAAGCCTATCAGAACTGAAAGAGACTGCTGATACAGACTCAGTGCAGGATAAACCTGACGAAGACACATGCATGCACACATCCAGGTGCAAACATGTGTGTGACTACTTCATTTACATCATATAATCTAGGACTCGGGTCACTTTGGACAGATAGAGATGCCAACAAACAGACTGGGGACATTAATACCAAACATGCACCACATGCAGCTATGACTGACACACAAACACATCTCTCCACCATCATATTTTATCCCTCTCCTACTTTCTCTCTATATCTCTGTCCGTGGTTCTGAACATTAGGGAGGCATATTCTTTTTCATCTGTCAGTATGGATGGAAACAGACGTGTTCAAAACACACAACAATGGCCTCGCCAGCACCAAGGAGGCTCTATGTTTTGTATGCTTGAAACACTGCATTATCTCCTAAGTGTCTAGCAACCCCAGTATAGTAAATAATGGATGCTACTCTTCCTTCAGAAAAAAACCCTCTTTCACTTCAGGGACCAGTCATGGTTTACCTGTATAAATGCCCTTTCTGTGTCTTTGGAGAAATGGATAGCACTAAAATATGTGGGTCAGACGATTTCATTAGCACAGCATTTCTCTGTGTGTCTCCTTCGATCAGCCGTCTGACAGAAGCAATGTCACTCAAAATGCAGACACATTGATACAGAATTCACTGAGAAAAAGGATGCAGCGACTGCTGATCCATAGCAGGGAATTCGTAAAATACAGCCCATATTACAAGATGGCAGATATCGTGATGCTTGAAAGGAGAGAGCGCAGTCACCTCTGAGATCAGCTGAATATCCTTAACGTCTTCAGCCTGAAGACTCCACATATTATGCCATTCGTTTCTGAGTCATGATCTACGAGGTCTCCATCCAACCTAGAAAGACAGGATAGGCGTAATGTTTAGTGCTGTAGATGTACAAATACACTGAAACAAGTACACATACATGCAAGGTATCATAGCATTTTACAGACCCCGCTAAGAATCAGACTTTATTAGACGATGAGAGTCCAAGATTACTTATTGCTTTTGCTCTTTGACCCACTTGTTTTTCTCTACTTTGTGCAGTTAACTCAAAACACTAAGCAGGAATGAACAGGACTACTTTGTGCCACCACGCAACTCTCTTTGGTCTCCCTCCCCCATTCATTCTGAGGTTACATCGAAAGAGTTTCAGCTATTGTGAATTATTTACTTGATTCACCATTCGGTCCTTTAACCCCTCAGCAAATGCACAGGCAGTCGGGGTTAAAAATACACTCCCACAGGATCTGAGTTTGAGTCTACATGCATGTGTGTGTGAGCGTGTGTGTGGGCAGGGATGTGGGTTTGAAAAACACACGATATAACCCGTGACACATTAAAGCAGCTTACATTCTCTCTTGTACAGACACACAGGAACTCATCAGAGCATCATTATGTGGGTACTTTCTGAGTGAGAATCCAGGCCGTCCCAGATGGGATTATTATAACACAGCTTGATCTGTGCAAGAGCTACGAGTGTGATTTTGTAAGTCACTGTGTGTGTGTGTGTGTGTGTGTGTGTGTGTGTGTGTGTCAGTGTGTGTCCATGTTTTTTTAGAGAGTCAGGGAGTTCTGACCTGTGCTTCATGACCTGAGTGAATGTGAGGGCACACCTCTCTATGACTGTGAAAGTATAAAATACGGTAGCACAAGAATAAAACTGTGCCACGCCGAATCATAAGCAAGAAGGCGCTTTTCTTGACAACCGTGTCATGGCCAGCATGTATCCAGTGGACATATTCATGCTGAGCATCTCAGTCAAAGGCTGAAATAAAGGTCCGTGATACATGCCTGTCTAACAGCAAACTGATAGAGGCTGCAGCAGCTTCCCTGCCTGAGTGAGTGAATATTAATGTCACCGAGATATGTGGGCCTTAATGGATACACACACACACACACACACCGACACCAACTCTACCAGGCCATGTTGCCGTGGTATGTCCCTGGCATGCAGCAGTGTTGTCATGGATACCCCCAGACACATCCGCCATCCCATAAGCGGGGGGATGCTGAGCGCTTCAGAGGGGCTGGCGCCG